GGCATCCACAACCACATGAGCTATGTGGGGGCCTCAAAAAGTTTGTGGAAAATTCCACTATCTTTTTATTTCATATTTGAAGCCCTCTCATGTTTATGTATGTTAAAACTATTAAAAAACTGAATACACTCACACATGCTTCACTGACTTTGCTTCTCCAACGAACACAATCTAAGACAATGGAGTGGAGGTGGTGGTGGTGGTGGTGTGCTGTGGAGTCAGTTCTATCTCATAGTGACCCTGCATAGGGTTTTCAGGGCTGTGAATCTTTACAGGAGCAGAAAGCAGCCTGTGAAATGGCTAGTAGTTTCTAATACTGACCTTGAAGTTAGCAGCCCAACTCATAATCACTATACTACCACAGTCATTGCCTATTAAGTTTATAAAAAGTTTTCAATCATAAGACAAAGCATATTCATATAATACTAAGCAGAAAAAGAGATGCAAGTTTTAACAAGGTTTAGAATGGTCTTTGAACATTTTCATATTTCTGTATTACTTGTTCTTCATAAAACGCATAAATAAGGTCTCAACAATTTAAACAAGCATAGTAAAAAGGCCAGAAAGAACTGTACTAGAATGATGGAACTAACAAAAGCAGAACTGGTCCTGGCTACCCTGAGAGGCCAAGAACTCCTTCTATAACTAGCTGTCCTGCCCCCAGCTGCCCTCTAGTCCAAAAAAGTTATTTCTGGGAATAAGCATCCTAACCTCAGTCACCTTTGGAGTCAACACAAGTACGTCCAGATCAGGTTCGCTGACTCTAAACAACATCCAGGCTGGCAGGAACTCCATCTAGGACATCCCACCCTCCCATCACTCTCCCCCCAATCCTGTGAGCTCCTTGGTTGGCAGAGGGTACCAACTCATATCAGATGTTCTGTCACCACAATTTTCGCCTGTGGGTCCTGCCCCAACACCAGTTTTCTTCATTTACTTTTATTTTCTCTCGCTTCCCTTATTTTTAATTATTTCCTTCCCAGCTTTACTTTCTTCCCTTCCCTTCTTCTCTCTTTTTTTTCCTTGTCCCACCCAATGGAAAACAGCAACAAAGCCCACAGAGTCCAGCCACATTCATATTTTCCACAGGCTAGGGTCACTACCTCCTCCTGTACCATTTGATCATTCATAGCAGACAACACCAGCCAAACCCATCCTCAACTGTTTGCTACACAAACAGAGAACTATGCTCATATGCAAATTCTCCTGAGTGCCTAAGAACAAACCAATGTACAACTACCAATTAAATGCAAATACAATAACACCACAATGTCTCAGGGGCAACAGACAGTATCAGTTCACACAAAGACAGAGTGGCTCAGACAAGTGACCAAAATACAGAATCAGAAGGGCTTTTTCTTAGAAAGAAATGGCATTGGAATGACCTGATTAAAAAATTCTAAAGAATTACAGTTAGATATTTTCAATGAATTGAGAAGAAGGTTGAGAAAGTTGCCGACAAAATCAAGGAACATAAAAAATAAACTTTAGAAGAATTCAGGAAAACACTGAAAGAAAAACTAGCAAAGTAAATGAAAATTTTGAAACCATACAAAAACAGCAAATAGAAATCCAGAAGATTTCAGAAAAAGACAAGAAATACTAAGATTTCAGGAAAAGACAAGATACTGAAAGAGTAAAGGAGTAGAATTGAGTCAATGAAGGGTGAATTAGTGAGCATGAAGACAAATCTCTCAATATTAATCTGCTAGAAGAGCAATCAGAAAAGAGAATGAATAAATCTGAAGAAAGTCTAAGAATCATGTGGGACATACATCATCAAGAGACATAACTTGACATGTGATCAAAATTTCAGAACTGGAAGAGACAATAAAAAGCATTGAGAAAATTACTGAAGGCTTGCTGTTAGAAAACTTCCCTAACATCATGAAAGACAAGAAAAAATATATTCAATCTGAATGAACCCCCAAACAGGATAGAACCCAAAAGAATCACCAGTACATATTTTATTCAAACTTTCCAAAACCAAAGACAAGGAAACAATCCTGAGAACAACTTGGGAAAAATAAAGTTACCTATAGAGGAGAACCAATACCATTAAGGTTTGATGTCTCAGCAAAAACCACACAAGCAAGAAGGTAATTGAAAGTCATATATATAACACTGAACGAAAAATAATGTCACCAAGAATCATACACCCAACAAAACTGTCCCTCAAATACAATAACAAAATTAGTATATTTCCAGATAAACAGAAATAAATGGAATGTGTAAAAACCAGACCAATCTTATAAAAAATACTAAAGAGACACAATCTAAGATGAACATACAACAACACCCAGAAGTTAACCCAAATGTAAAACAAACATTGAAGGCTGAAAACAGGGAACAAGAGATATTAATTTGTAACAAAGACAACACAAATTGATAAGAGAGAACAGTGTAGTTACAGAAACTCCAAATTAGAGGAAGTCAAGGAGATTTCAAGATAGAACAGACTTTTAAAATTGGGAAGAAATTAACATATGTATTACCTGGGCAAAGGGGAAGGCAATACATAATAAGAGGGTGGCTGGTAAAAATGATAGAATCTGGGGTAGAAATTAAAAGTTAAAGGGAACAGAGACAAATACTGTTATACACAATTCTGCAGTAACAGAGATCTATGAATATATGCATGAATAGCCATGCAGGCAGGAGTGGTAGGGGAAGGAGTGTGGAAGTATATCCACAAATCTATACACAGGTTTGACAGAGAATATTTGTCCATGATACTACCTTTGCTGCCAATATATCCATGAACAAGGTGGAGCGTATGGGGGGGCAAAGTTATGAAAACTTCTTAGATAAAATCAAATACCTTAGGGAATGAGTCACTGGGCCCAGGGCTCAGGACTACAATCTCAGGGGGCACCAAGGTCAACTGGCATAACAGAGTCCACAAAGACAATGTTCTACATGTTACTTGGTGAGTAGCAACTGGGGTATTAAAAGCTCATGATCAGTCATCTAAGGTACAACAATTAGTCTCTCCTTGTCTGAAAGAAATTAGACTGATGAAAATTGAAGACCTATGTAAAAAATTAGTCCAATGGATTAAAAGATCATGCAAACATCAGTGTCTACAACCGTAAGACCAGAAAAACTAGACAGTGCCTGGCTACCACTACTAACTGTTCTGAAAGGGCAGAGGATAAGAAGACAAGCATTCACAATGAGATCATGGATACAGTGGGGGCAAATGTGGAACAAATCATAAAAATCACAAAAAATGACCAGACTTACTGGTTTGATAGAGAACCCCAAGACTATCATCACGCTTAGTAATCCTTGAGGTCTGAAAGTAAACTCTGCCCCATGGTGCAATTTTCAGCCAAACAATAAACAGACCTGTAAAGGTGAGGTATGTCTACCTTATAATAATCAACCATTTGAGGTCAGAAGGGCAGTTATTTACCCCAGGAAAAGTTCAGAAGGGTCAGGAAAAAACGAGGAATAGAACTAGGAAACACAGGGAGGAAGTGGGTAAGTGGTGTTATGTTGAGGAGATTGTAATCAATGAGTGAAACGAAATGTGTATGAATTGCTGAATGTAAATGAAACGAAATGTGTATGAATTGCTGAATGTAAAACTGATGATCCGCTCTGTAAACCTTCACCCAATTCACAATTTAAAGAAGCAATTATGGAAGAAGAATCAATAAACAAAACTGGCTGAAAATTTGCGTATTCATTTGCATTTTCTGATTTTATTTTCTTTGCTATCTTTTTCTACAAAAAAAATCAGCAAATAAAGAATAAAACAAAATCTTAAGTTTAACAGGATATTATATTTCCATGTGACTGTTTTGTTTGTTCTTCATAGTAGCCTTGTGCAACACATTATGCTATTATGCACCATTGCCAATATTGCCATAATTAATGCAAAAATCAACATTATAAAAACCAAACTTTCAAAACCAACAAATTCAATCTCAAATATTACCCCTAATGAACCAGAAGCCGTCAAAGGCACAGTGGCTAAAGCACTCAGCTGCTAATCAAATCATAAGGAGTTCAAACCCAGCAGCTGCTCCACAGTAGATAAAGATGGGGGAGCCTGCTTCCATCACTTGAAAATTAAAAAAGATACCAGTGCAAAGGACATTTAAAATGTGCTTTCAAATATTTATAATGTGTTAGTCAACATAACATGAAACTTGTCATAGTATCTACTTCAATAGATGTAAAAACAATGTATCACAAAACAACAACAAAAACAGAGGAAATGACTTACAAGAAAACTGAAAAAAATTCACAGGTAAGCTGAATTTCCTTTCTTTGAGGAGGGGTTTTGTAGACAATAATTTGGATTGTTTGGGAAGCGGAATTTTTATTTACAGATCTAATGCCATTTTAGTTGTCTTCCCATATGCCCTATTTTCGAAAAAACCTTGATTATATCAAATACCTTATATTAAGCATTATACTTTTTAGATATTTGATATATCCTCATTAGTGGCAAGGAGTTCCTTCATCACAATGTTCATTGAAATGTTTATCCAGAAAACACAGAAATTTAGAAAAAAATTTTCATTATTCCTATCATTCTTCCCCAAGTTCTTTAGTTGTAACCACTTTCTGGGTGATGAATATAGTATTATAAAGTTCTATCAACTCTGAGAACTACATATTTTCATCACAGGTACTACAGAAAGATAATTTATCCAACATGTCTAAATTAGGCCCAAATACTTTCATTAACTTACGTAAAGACATTATGTATGCTATAATGATGTGCCAAGATAAATGTATATATATTATTTGAAAATGTCACTTAAATGAATAAAGAGTTCTAAAAATATTTTTTATTTTACATTTTTGTTCAACTTATGGTAATGTTAGAAAATTCAATAATCATCAGTGCTATGGCTAGAGTATGTGCCTGTGAAGCAGTACTAATTCAAGTAAATATAGAATTTTCCAAATCTTAATATTTAATTTCACAATTCTAAGCCAAAAGAGCCAAGAGCTATAAATTGAGAAAAAGGGGTATTTACCTCTTCACTTCTTGTCTTATTTTTGCATTACAGTAGAGAATATCTGTATGATCAGATTTCTAAAAGAAAAAAAAAGTCATTATCATTTAACAAAATAAAGATTGTATGAGTACAGGTAATTGTACGCAGTATTTTTTTCCATACCAAGGTGTTAGCAAATAGGGTCAAAATAATAATTTACTTAACCATCCCAATAATTTTATGAGATAGATTATCTTTGTATTTATACTTTGCAGATAAAGACCAAGCTAAGTAACTTGCTCAACATCACAGAATTAGTAGTAGTGTTATGATTTGAAGCTACATCTATGTGATTTTCTTTATTCTATATACACTATATACACTCAGGATACACGGCTAAACTTAAGAAAGATAAGAGATAAGAAAATAGTGTCCCTGTCTTAAAGGGTTTGGTGGCGGTGGATGTGAGCCATCAAATTGGTTCCAACTCAGTGATCTTGTACAGCGTTTCCGAGGAGGTAAATCTTTACAGGAGCAGAAAGCCTTACCTTTCTCCCACTGAGTGGCTCATAGATTCAAACGTCTGACCTTGTGGTTAGCAGCCTAACTTGTAACCCACTACACTACCAGGTCTCCTTCCAAAGGTTCTCAGAGAAAAGTTAAAGGATAAAGAGGGAAAAAGCAAAAGGATATGCACCACCAACAGACTATAAACAAATGACTAAGTGTCCAAGAAAGAGAGATAGTGCTAACCAACATAACCAAACTCACTGCCCTCAAGTCAATTCCAACTCATAGCAACCTTGCATACGGCTTCTGAGGCTGTACATTTTCATGGGAGCAGAAAACCTCAACTTTCTCCCGCAGAGCATCTGGTGGGTTAGCAATCCGGAACTTATGTAAGTAGTAAAAGATTTACAAAACATTAAACCCCAAAAAAATGGAAGGTACCTAGGGAAAACAGTGAACAAAATAAATGCCAAAGATTAAAAAATGGATAAAAGAGAATGGTATTCTAAGCTAAGTATGCTTTATGAAACTAGAGCTATCAGGCATAAATTCAGAAGAGAGAAAATAAGCCAATCTAGTTAGACACAGAAGAACTCTTTCAAGGAAAAGGGCAGGGGGAGGGAAAGTTAAGGTTTGACCAAATTTAAGAAGGTCCTAGATGACAAAAAGTGAGTGAAAGTTTTTCAGAAGAGGAGAAATATGATAAAAATCAATGTTTTAAGAATGTTGATACAGCAAAGTGGAGGCCTGGTTGCAAAGCACTGGACTGCTAACCCCAAAATCAGTGATTCAAATCCGCTCCTGAGAAGCTCTATACAAGGTCTCTATGAGCTGGAACCGACTCGATGGCACTTAACAACAACAAGGTAGATATACTGTTTGCATTTTTTAGATTTGCAAATTGAGTTCCAGGAAGGTTCTGGTGTGACACCATAGGATAAGCACTTGACCTCAAGGTCTGAACCTCAAGTTTGAACCGAAATGTAAGCAGTTCAAATTCAACCAGCCATTCCTTAGAAACCCTATAATATATGGGGGGGGGGGGAATGGAAAAATACTGGGAGGAAATTTAAACTCTTTCACTAAATGTTACAACTTTAATACAAACCAGTTTTAGAATTGGAGTCCTGGTGTGGTGCCATAGGATAAGAACTCGACCTTAAGGTTGGTTTGGATGACAAGGTTAGTAGTTCAAACTCACCAGCCGCTCCTCAGAAACCCTATACAAGATTGCTATGAGTGAGAGCCGACTTAACAGTGCTTAACAACAACAACAAATTTTTAGAATTAGTTATGGAATAGAAACACTCACCAGTTTTCTTTTTTCTGGAGAAACTGATCTTAATGAACAAGCTGAACTAGTAGAACTTGTTGAGATTTTTTTCTTTTCTTTATCCTAAGAATGTCATTTGGGAGAAGGGGAAAAAAAAACAAAAAGAAACAAGAAAATCTCAAAATAAAGCATAGTATAAAATAACATTATTTCATCATCTTATAAATAAACATTCCTTCTACATTCAATAATAAATTTCAGAGGGGGACAATTTTAAAGACACATAAAATTTAGCATGAGGAAGGGAAACCCAACTAGAAATCAGGACTTCCAGCTGATCTTGAATTTAGAGAAGGAAACGAGTATTACGGAGGAGGCTAGCCAAGAACTTGGATAAAAGCACCATGAGGTAGCATCATCAGAGTGGGATTCAGTCTTCCACAAAACTGTTATGAATTGAGTTCCCGCACTCCAAAAAAATTAATTTTAAATTCTTAAAATCCCTGGAAAAGTGGCCTTGTTTGGAAATAGACTCTTTGAAGATGTTATGTTAAAATTACATGATGAACTTAACTGGTGGTGCAGGGGTTAAGTACTCAGTTGCTAACCATAAAGATCAGCAGTTTTAAAAACCCACCAGCTGCTCTGCATTAAAAAGGCGAGGTAGTCCATTTCAGTAAAGGTTTACAGCCTTTGTAACCCCATGGAGGCAGTTCGACTGTCTTCTAGAGTCACTATGAGTCAGAAAACACTTGACAGCAAAAGTTTTCAGATACTGGAATAGAGTGGGTCCTAATCCAATCTAAGTTGTTAATTGTCCTCAAATCTGTTTTGACTCATAGTGACCCTGTATAGGGTTTCTGAGGAGCAGCTGGCGAGTTTGACTCACCAACCGTGTGGCTAGCAGCCCAGTGTTCATCCTACAGAATCTGAGTGCTGTACTATAAAAAAAGAGAACAGACACAGAAGACAGAGGAAAAGATAGCCATGTGAAGGGGCATGTACATGTCACATTATGCCTTGGGCTACTAGAAGCTGGAACAAATCATCACCTAGAGCAGACAAAGAAATGGTTCTATTATCCTGAAACAAATTTAAAAGCAAAACAATATATATTATTATTTTTTAATGAAATTTAATTCAATAAGTTGAGGTGGTTTAGGAGCTTTAGTAGTACAATGGCTAAATACAGAGCAACTAGCCAAAAGATCTGAAATTCAGACCTACCTAGTGGCTCTGCAAGAGATAAGACCTAATGATCTGATCCCATAAACACGACAGCCTAGGAAACATTACGGGGTAGTTCTATTCTGTCATATGGGATCACTGTGAGTTGGAACCAGGGTGAACTTCTCAAACTAACCATTCATGCTTCCAGTAAACACATTTTCAGTGTCTGTTGTTGTCAGTTACAACTCATAGTAACCCAATGTACAATAGAATTTAACACCTGGTCCTGCACCAACCTCACAATTGTTGCTTGCTTGAGCTCTTTGCTGCTGCCACTGTGGCAATCCATCTCATTGGGGATCTTGCCCTTTTTCACAGATCCTCCAATTTACCTGTCATGATGTCCTTCTCCAGAGACTAGTCCTCTCTGATAATATATCTAAAATATGAGAGACGAAGTCTAGCCGTTCTGGCTTCTAAGGGGTATTCTGGCTGTACTTTTTCTAACACAGATTTGTTCATTTTCTGGTGGTCCACAGTACTTTCAGTATTCTTCTTCAATACCATAAACCAAAAGCATCAATTTGTCTACGGTCTTTTCTTATTCTTTGTCCAACTTTCACTTGCATATGAGGATACTGAAACTATGCAGGCTTAGTTCAGGCGTACCTTAGACCTCAAACTGACATCTTTGCTCTTGAACACACCAATGCATATAACATAATACACTGTTTGATTTCTTGACTGCTGCTTCCATTAGTATTGATGGTTGATCTGAGCTAAATGAAGGATTTGACAAAGTCTATCCTTTCTCCATTTACCATGATGCCATTTATTGGTCCAGTGGTAAGGAGTTTTGTTTTCTATAAACTGAGGTGCAACCCACACTGAAGACAGTGGTCTTTGATCTTCATCAGTAAGTACTTTAAGTCCTCTTAGCTTTCAGCAAGCAAGGTCGTATAATTTTCATATCGCAGGCTCTTAATAACTCTTCTTCCAATCCTGATGTCACGTTCTTCTTCATATAATCTAGCTTCTCGGATTATTTACATAGCATACAAATTGAATTAAGCATGATTACCAATACAACCCTAGCGCACACCTTTTCTGATTAGAGGTGTGCACCAAGGTAGTATTCTTTAAATTCTAGATGATGGGAACAGAGTATAATGAAAGAAAAAAAAAACAAACAAAAAACAAACCAACAACAATAAAATTCCCCACCCTCATGGAAGTGAAAGTTCAGTGCAGGAATTTATAGATAAATAATATACTCATTATGTCAGATGATGCTATTAAAACAAACAAACAAACAAACAAACAAAAATTGCAGAAAAAAGGAACAGGGGGCAAGAGGAGTTGCAGTTATATTCAGAAAATTGTCTACTGATCAACTTACAACTAAATGGAGACTGAGGATCTCTCAAACTAAGGGAACTAAACTAAAAATTCAAGCCTCAACTTGAAATATTGAAGGTTTCCATGGGGAAAAGATTGAATGATGCAGAAAACATCAAAAGATGATGGAAGGAACACACAAAGTCACTTTACCAAAAAGAAATGATAGGTGTTCAACCACTTCGAAAGGTATCATGTACTCAAGAGCCATTCAGTGTTCCCATGTTCTGTTCGAACAACTGCCTCTTAGTCCATTTACAGATTCCTCATGAGCGCAATTAAGGGTTCAGGAATACTCATACTTCGCAATGTTGTCCATAGCTTGTCATTATCCACACAACCGAAAGCCTTTGAATAGTCAATAAAGCACAGGTAAACACCTTTCTAATATTCTCAGCTTTCAAAGATCCTTTGGACATCAACAATGATATCCCTCATTGCAAGGCTTCTGAATCCGGCTTGAACCTCTGGAAGTTCTCTGTCAATGTATGCTTGCTGCCATTTTTACATTACCTTTAGTAAAACTTTACTCACTTGGGATATCAAAAAAGACTGTCTGGTGATTTCTGCATTCCATTGGGTCATGGAGCAAATAATGTGGAGTAAATAATCCAAGATGCTGGGTTACATGAAGAAAACCTGGCATCAGGATTAGAAGAAGACTCATTAACAACCTGAGATATGCAGATGATACAACCTTGCTTGCTGAAAGTGAAGAGAACTTAAAACATTTACTGATAAAGATCAAAGAGCACAGCCTTTGGTATGGATTACATCTCAATGTAAAGAAAACAAAAATCCTCACCAATGGACCAATAAACAACTTTCTTATCAATGGAGAAAAGATTGACATTGTCAAGGACTTCATTCTTCTTGGATCAACTATCAACACTCAAGGAAGCAGCAGTCAAGAAATCAAACTACATATTGTATTAGGCAAATCCGCTGCACAAGACCTTTTTAAAGTGTTGAAGAGCACAGATGTTAGCTTGAGGACTAAGGTGTGCCTGACCGAAGTCATGGTATCTTCAATAACCTCATATGCATGCGAGAGCTGGACAGTGAATAAGGAAGACCGTAAAAGAATTGATGCTTATGAGTTATGGTGTTGAGACGAAAATATGGAAAGTGCCATGGGCTGCCAAAAGAACCAGTAGATCCATTTTGGAAGAAGTGCAGTCAGAGTGCTCTTTGGAGGCCAAGATGGCCATATTTCATCTCTCATACTTTGGACATATTGTCAGGAGGGACCAGTCGCTGGAGAAGGATATCATGTTTGGTAAGGTGGAGGGTGAGAGAAAAAGAGGA